AGGTTTCTTTAAAAGTACATTGTAAACTTCATGGGTTAAGACATGCTGATTCTGTTTATCTTCTGAAAGTCTGGCCAGAAGTTTACTTTTGCACTGTAGCTGGGGGAAAACAAGGTTGCTAAGCCAGCATAAACAAATGTCCACACGGTCCTCTTTACTCTTCAGGAGAAGCGGCTTGGAGACACTTAGAATGCCTTTTTTATACTGTATAAACAACCAGAATTTACACAGAGGCAGCAGCTTTAGGCTAGGTTTTGATAGGTTTATTGCAAGTAATTCTAGTTTCAAATTCTGAATTCAAACAAAACAAAGACCAGCAGCCACACAGACTCCGCCTCCCCAGGGGTAAGCCCTGGAATGAGGGCTCACATTTCTCTGTAAAGCTGTCTATTTTTTATTGCTCATTAAAAACTACGGGTAGAGCCTCAGTGAGGTGCTAATCTGTCTTTAACCTTTTTTGGGAAGGCATAAATCTTTCCCATGTTGAGGGGGATCCGGAGCCCGGGGCCATCTATCGGGAAGCACAGACCTGGAGCCGCTGGAGCTCCCGACACCAAAGCCACGAGCCAGAGAATCTCTTACTAGTTAAAAAGAAGAAGAAAAAAAATTCTTTAAAGTGATCAAGCCCTCATCTAATTGAATCATCTGTGACCTATGCCAGGCTCTGTCATCTAGACAGCAGCGTGGGCAAGAGATGAAATCTACCCTATTTTTAAAAGATCTCCAGGAAAGAAGACTTCTTAGAAACTTCTGTTAAAGTTTAATCATATTGGGCAATTATGAATTTTTCATATCCAGTCTAATTTTTTTTCCCCTTTTTATCCTCTAAGATGACTTTTTCATTTTTGGCCGTTGAAAAGAAAAAGGTCTGCTTCCTAAATCATAGGTGAAGTTATCATGTCATCCCTTATTGTTTATGCCTTTAGGCAAAATAATCTCAACTCCTTCTTGTGCCTGACTTGATTTGTACCAGAAGGCTGACGTCACCATGGGCCAGGGTTGCGAGGTGTGCAGCTGATACTGTGGCAGTTCTGGGGGTGAAGCCCTGACACCCTGTCTTCAGATCAACAGCCAGGCTGCCCACAACAGGCCTGCGGCAACATCCCAGTCCAACCCGAGTCGCTGTTCTTTTCCACAGGACTTCTCCAGGTGCCTTCCCTCTGCCCACGTCCTTGGGCTAATAGGCCTTCAGGCATGGTGTGCACTTGTCATAGAAGTGAACCCTGTCTTATTGAGTGGGTTGGGTTCCCAGGTCCAAATAAAGCAAAAATCAAAAACTGCATCTAGTCAAAATTACCCTGAAAAAACTCCCTTGTCCTCAGTCGATCGTTTCTTAAGCAATGCTTTCGGCTAAACTCAACGCCCCAAGATAAAAGGACTAGGTTATCTCACACCAAGCAGACTCTTGTTGGCAGTGAGGTCACCCATTAAAATGCAATCTTGGCATTTTTACTCCTAAGTCCATTTTTGCACGGTAGACTTCTCTTTTCATTCAAGATAGGCCGCAGGCATGACATGGTTGGCAACCAAAGACTAGTCCATAACAACAGGGAAACCAAGAGGGAATATGCATCTTAACCGGAGCTGTATTTAACACACCCCAGTGTATCATCTCACATGTGTTAAGTGATCAATAAGTTTGGTGAATGACGGAATGGACAACTTGCCAGTAACGAGGAGAACTACTGGATGTTGCTGACCTAATTCGAGCCGAGAACCACCAAGACGGTGGTGCTGGGCTCATCCTAGAAAGCCACTGACTCCACGGCCAAGCCCTCACTCACCACGTTCTCCAGCATGGACTGAGGACCTGCTGTGGGCCCGCAGGGCTTTCCGTGGCCTCTGGACACAGGCTGTCACACGGCCACCACGTGGGACAGAGCACCACGTCTGACCCTGCCCGATGTGGACGTGCTTGCTCACCGCTCAGCCTCAGTGCCAAGGACAGTGCCTGACGCACGCGAGTGCTCAACATCGCCCTAAGGAACGGAACTCAGGGCCTCCAACATCTCATCCGCAAGGAGCGTCTGATGAAAGTCCCCACGCACCCCGTGCACACCCTCCTTCCACAGACCCGGCAATCCCTGGGACTAGACTAATTCTCAGCATGTCGCCCTCACCGTGCCTATCGGGACCTTCTTTGACAGCTAGATTTCTTGCCCTAGAAAGAAACGTCTCTTCCATACAACTCTCCCCAGCAGGTCCACATTCCTAAGCCAGCTCTTCCATGAAATAGTTTCTAGCTTGGCCAAAGCCCTTATTTTTAAGAAATACAATTTCCCACCATGACTGAATCTCATACCTGGTATGTCTTTGGGAATTCCCTACCAAAGACAGGCACCCTGAGGGTCCATGACAAGAGGGGCACAGTGACGAGTCGGTGGCACATACAGGAACTGGGTGACTCTCCCGCTGCTGACTGATGGCACATCTGCCTCCTGCCCACCGGCTTCCGAGTCACTGCCCAGCCACCAATACTATGTGACCACCCCAACCATAAAGCCCCAGGTAGCGGGACACGGGCAGCTTTCCCCAGAGCCCCACACGCTCTCAGCGCCGTCCCTGAGCTACACTGGCTCCCCCATGAATCATGCAGACTCCGAGGGAACAGGATGAAAACGCCATCAGGACAGACTCCGGTTGTACAGTCAGCAAACACAACCACACAGTGATTGGGAGGCAGCCCTTAGCCACCAGAAAAAAACCCCAGGGTGAAAGAAAGCAACAGCCTGGTACAGAGAGAGGCACATGAGCTTCCTTGAATTACCTTCCGATTTAGGACTAGGAGCAGACGCAGGAAACTGGTAGGTAGGAGTGTAAGGACTGTCCTCTGCAGCAGAGAAAAGCAGTGGATTTCTGAAACTACGCACCGCGGAGTGGAGGAACGGACAGATCCCCAACGGGCTCTTCCGAATGCCTGAGCACCTGTTGCAGTGTTAGTAGAGCGCGGGCACCGCACTCGGAAATACGTTAATGCATTAGGAAGGGCGTAGTCATTTTAATACAGCACACCATGCAAATGAGTGAGATAAAATGTCCCATAGCCAAAATGACTATAAGAACGAAATCTAAAAGCCAAATCTTATTCCTATAATGGCACTGTAAGAGTTAATGAAGGCTAGGACAACAGATACACTCTCTAAGTTTATGGTACCTTCAGAACTTTGCTGGATTTCAGGAAGTTCGGGGAATTTGTACGTAGGGAAATAAGGGTTTTCTTCAGGAGTGTCTAGGCAGAGGAGCAGGTTTGGGAGAGAGAACAGAGGAAGACACAAATGGAGAGAATGAACGAACAGGAATCCACACACAATTCAGGCTCCCTGAATCCCGGAACATAAGCTTCACTAGCGACATGAAAGAAATCCAGACTGCTTTGAAAAATCCAGTCCTTTTGCCTGAAGTACTGAGACACATCTAGAGAGACAATAGCATTTCTCTTCTTGGACAAAGAATTACGGGTGTATAGGTTCCAGGAAGCAAGAAGCATTTAGCACAAAGCTTCAAGTTTTTACCTCTTACAGGCAAAAAATATTAACTATGCTAATAAATAGCATGTAATGAAAACACTATCATAAAATGTTTTGTAAGAGGAATCAAACCTTGTCCTGTGGACATTAGAATTAAGGCAAACAAGTGGAGTCTTCATTTTTTAATGCCTCTGACTATGACTAAGGCGGACAGTAATATGTAGAACCCGTAACCTGGGCAGTTAATAACACACCAGAGGACCGATAAATACTGCCCGTGAGGCAGAAGTGTATATTTTTCACATATGTACCTGTGTCTCGGCCTCGGGGTGTACAGGTGAGACACAGATTGCCGGGGAAATGGACACCGGCGTCAGGAAGTAACAGTGGAAGTGACACTGTCCAATCAGGGACCCAGCCTTTAGCATCGCCACTGGGACAGCTCATCCGCCCAGCTACAGTGGACTCACTCTTGGCTCAGAACCACCACACAAGCATCTTACTATTTAGAAAGAGTTTGAAGCGGGGCACTGTGGGGCTCATTCTGAACACTGCAGGCGTAATTAACAGTGATGTTAGCTGGCATCCGTAGCTAATGAGATTGGTTATCTGGGACTTAGGCCAACACTGACCAGAACGCCTCGTCCTTGCCTTCATGTGTCACCTATGCCAGGCAGCCGGACTGGATTCGGCCACAGGGAAGGGGAGGATGCTCTGCCTGCGAGAGGGGTGGCGCTTCCCCTGAGCAGCGCATCCCTGCCTGTCAGCTGGCTGGCGGGGTCATAACCTGCCCGAGCACTGCCCTGGGTTCTCCCACCATGCTGGGCCACCTGCCCCCACCCAGCAGGCCCGACTTGGAAGCGCTTCTCTTCCATCCTGAGTGGGCTCTGGAGTGTCAGCTCTTGATGGACTCTCAGGGCTACCAGCCTGGCTCCCAGCTGGGGAAGAGTATTTTTCATATTAATACCACCTTACAGGTGCACCAGGCGTGCTATTCACAAGGCAGAACTTGCTCTCATTGGGACCCTGCAACTTCCTCTGGAGGAAGGCAAGAAGGACAAACACAGAGAGGTGCGTAATTGGTTCAAGACCACATGAGTCCTAGGGGACTGAGTCCAGGTGAGAACAGCTTTTGACTCCCGGTTCAGCGCTTTCTCGACTCGCTCTCCCACAAGGCAGTCATGGGCTGACACAGGGAGGTGCACCTGAAGCTGGAAGCAAGTGGGAGATGGGGCTGCTCGAAGCCCAGGCAGGCAGATGCAGGGCGCAGGGAGAGGGCGGGCTCAGCCTGCAGCATCACACACCACCCGGGCGGGCAGGAGGACGTCTGAGCTGACCTGGACCCCACGTGAGGCAGGCACACAAGGGCTCCCTCCCGCCGTGGCTCAGCAGGTGGCTGGCTAGGCTCAGCAGGCTGGTGCTTAATGAGGTCAAGCAGCAGGGCCAGCCTCCTGGCGTCCTAGCGAAGTGGGCTTAGGCCCGCACAACAGTCAACATGAGCACAGCAGAGCTTCTACTACAGCAAACCAGTACCTCTGTTTAGTTTGTGGATCTGTTTAAACATGGTCTTGTACCAGTCTTTTGATCTCTCGGTGTTCTGGAGAAAAACAAAAGCAAAGAGTAAAATGAAACGGAAATCTTGATATGTTTCAGAACTTCTACGATCACAAAATCAAAATGGAAAGTGACAACATCTCAAGTCCAAACTCATGTAATTCTATATATCCTTGTGATCCCACATTTAAATCTTTTTTAAAAAATGAAAAAGTTTAGAGAAAGAACAGACAAATCAAGAGATTCAGACCTGAATCTACAGAGTAACATTTGGCCAGAAGGACACAGATTTTGAATACAGTGGACCAAGATCCACTTGAAAATGTGTCCATTTTTATATATTTTTTTAAAAATTTCATTTTTAGAGAGACTCTCTTTCCACATACAGATGAGTAAATTGAAGTAAAACCTCCTAGAAACATGAGAGACGAACATTTGCTTATCAGGCCTTCCCCACCCACTTCAGGCTATTCTATAGAAGTGCATCTAAGGCACCTTGCAGGGCCAGATGTAGAATGCACACGTTAAAATGGAACCATTAGACCTGGCCTGGATGGCTTAGTGGCTAGAACATCAGCCTGCAAACCAAAGGGTCATGTGTTTGATTCCTGGGCAAGGGGATGAACCTACAACCCAGGTACATGCCTGGGTTGTACCTGGGTTGGCATGTACCTGGGTTGCAGGTTCATCCCCAGCCTTGGTTGGGGTCTTGTGGGAGGCAACCAATCGATGTGTCTCTCTCACATCGATGTTTCTACCCCCTCTCCTTCCATTCTATCTAAAAATCAATGGAAAATATCCTCAGGTAAAGATTAACAAACAAATGTAACCCATTATAGCAGCCAATGTCAGAACAGTCATCCTAACCACACAAAAGGGCTCTTTTTAATTTTTACCTTTAAGATAAAAACAAAACAAGGAAGGTGACAGATAGGTGGTCAGACCAGATATTTTTACCCCCACTTTACAGATGAGGAAAAATGAGTCAAAGCTGGAGTCCCTGTTTCCTCATCTATAAAATGAGAATAACATTAGTATCCACCTTGTAGAGAGGATGATGTTTCAATGAGAATGCACTTGGCAAGTGGTACTGTGATTACTATCCGCAGTAATTCTCATCATTATTATTATATAGTTACTATGACATAGGGCCAGACAACAGTTCTTTTGAGGCTTAGCGCACTGCTGTTTCTATCAGCCTTCTCCAAAGGGACACGTTAACCTGTCCACTTGCTCAATGGGAACCAGAGAAACATATCGCAGCCAGTTTCTGTTGGGCACATGGAGAGGGATGGAATTCACCCTAATCCAGTTTCAAAAGTTGGGCTTCCCTGGAATCCGTTAGGGCCTGCAGGAGGCTGGCATGCCTGCACAGGGGGAGGGCTGGGCAGGGCTACCCCGAGACCCACTCTGTTCTGGATGCCTCGGCAGGCTGAGTCCATTCTGTGCCTGCCTTAGAGTTTCCCTCTCACTCTGAATGATGGGCTAGCTCTCACCAGGGGAGCTTCTTCCAGACCCGTGAACGGGGACCCTGAGCCTCGCTCTCCCAGGGTTCTCTAACTCTGGACTAACAATTTGGAGTCTGCTCCATGGAACAATAAAGTATCCATGGATGGGCAGACTGGGAAATCGCCCACCACATTCTCCCCTTGCACTCGCGCGTGCCCAAGCCTCTCAGAAGTTCTGCTGCAGGGAAATCTCGCTGCCTTTGCTCCACCCAGTTCTTCTTCACGTTCGTTCAACCACGAAACCCTTTTTCTCAGACACTTAGCGACACCTGTGGGGAAAGTTGCTGCACTAGGAGCCCTGGACCAAGGTGGGCTCGGACAGTGGACCGTGGTGAGGACCTTTGCAACCCATGGGTGGGGTCCACGGGCATGCGGGGGTGTACACTTGTCAGCGGCTCAAGAGGAGGACTAAGAAGCACTTCTCAGTGGGGATTCGTACCCGGAGTGGGATGCCCACTTCATCCATGGACACATCGCTTAGGTCCTGAGCGCTCTTAACCACCCGCCTGCTGTCATCCTTGGCCCGTTTCTCAGGAGTCCTGCCGGGAGAGGTGGGCTTTTCCTGGGCTGGTGCTGAGTCCCGTCCTCCCACTCTTCTTTCTGGAACAGGATCTGGAAGTGAAAAACCACCATTACCTTCTGGTAGCTCCAAAGCAAAAAAACAAAAAAAAACCCCAAAAAACCAAAACCACACCTCCCAAACAATGCAGCTGGGGGAGTGTTTGCTAATTCTCAACTGGAATGCGTGTCACATAGAGCAAGGAACAGCAAACTAGGCCCGGCCACCTGTTTTTGTAAATAAACTTTTATTAGCATACAGTCATGCCCATTCATTTACGTATTATTTATGGCTGCTTTCAAGCTAAACCGGCAAAGTTGAGTAGCTGTGACAGAAACCATATGGCCTGCGGAGCCTAGAATATTTACCATCTGGCCCTTTAAAACATTTGCAGAGGCATACACCTGTGCTGCAGACATCCGAGCGCTTCTGACCATCAGGGAGCAGATAAAACCCGAGGGAGGTGGCCAAACATTCCTTGAAAGTCCGTGTTTCATTTTGGGGGAAGTCACTTAACTTTTCTGTGCCTCTGTTTTCTCATAAAAAAATGGGGATAACACTGCCACTGGCCAGCTCACAGAGATGCTACGAGAGGATCTAACAAGGTAACGTATGCCCAAATGCTCAGAAAGCTGTACATTGGTAACTGTGCATTCGAATATTTTAAATTTGATTCAAGACGGTTAGTTACAGAGAGCTGATAAACACCCGATGTGCAGTCTAGATTATAAAGTTACTTCATTTACTCCAAGCCCTGCCATTTATTTGTGGGAGGCATTCACTAGGCACTGCCAGGTGCTCTGCATTCCCAGGCCGAGGAAAGGGAGCTGGGCTGGGGAAGGCAGAGAGCGACGGCCTCTTCCATCCGGACCCAGCCACCTGGAGGAGACAGTGAGGCGTGGAGCAGAAATGCCCTAGAAGCCCCTAGAAGCCATGTGGGGGTGGAGCCCAGGTGAGAGGCCCAGCAAAAGCGCAGTTTTGGAGCCACCAGCACAAAGGTGACGGCTGAGGTCAGGAGATGGAAGAGCTCAGTGCAGGGGGAAGACGAGACAGAGTCAGGGCTGAAATCATGCACTGAGGAATGTCACAGTCACAGGCTGAAAAGCCAAAAAAAAAAAAAAAAAAAAAAGCCTCCCCAAAGATGCGGGAGTCATCGGAGTCATCAGAGGGTTAGGAGATGAGCCAGAAAGGCAGAGTGAGGTGTCAGTGAAACCAGAAGACAATTCCAAGAAGTGGGTGGTTAAAACAAACAAACAAACAAAAAAGACAAAACAACAACAGAAATGGAGCAGAGGGGAGGCCTTACATTAGGCAAAAGAAGAGTCACAGGATCGCTCTGAGGGAGCAATTTCGGGTGGGCAGTGGGGTAGATGCCAGATGCAGGGAAAGAAATGAATATATAAGCAGGAAGTGGGGTCGTGAGTAGGGAGGTGGGCATGGAAGACATAGGTCAACCAGAGAGGTCACAAGATTAGAGGCCAAAAAGGTCCAAGCCAGGTCTGCGTGCTATCGGTGGAGCCCGTCAGGTGCGACTGAGGGGGCGGAGATGTGCCCTGGTGACAAACAAATGCTCAACCGGCCCCTGCCCATTAGCTGAGGGGAGGGCTCATCTGAGAAAGGAGCAGGTGCAGAGCACTGGCGGAGGACCGCAGTCTGGCGAAGAGGAGGAGCCGGGGCCCACGACGGCTGTGCCGGCCCGCGGTGCCGTGTGGAGGGCGGTTGGGAGTGGGAGGCACGCGTGGCACCCTCGGGTTTATGAGCCTCGGTCTGCTCAGCGGAGCACGCTGCCAGGATGTCAAGCTGACCTCTGAAATGAGGACCCACTCTGGCGCTCGGACGGTTTCTAACCATCTGTGGGAGGCTAGCTAGGTGAGTCCTTCAGAAAACCTGACCCCGCAGTCATTCGCCATGAGCTTTAAAGGATGTTAAGAACAGACTGGCTTCATGGGACGAGTCCTCACGCCCCCAGGAAATTCCAGCAGGAGGCAAGGATCTGGCAGGAAGCGGGGACATGCAGGGGATTCGAGTGACCAGTCCACCCTTAAACCGCTCTGCAGCGCTCCCTCCTGCCTCTGGGAAGGCCTTCCTACGTCAGCAAGGCTTCAAGCTCTGTCTCACCTGGTGTGGAGGTGCTCCTGCTCTTCACGGACATTTATTTAGAGAAGAGGAAGACCACAGCTATGCCATTCTCATGGGTTTGGGTCCAGAGAGTTTTTAAAGAAATTGCTATGGCGGGTGGTTCTACCTGTGGTCACTTCACCGTGAAACCCAGGCTGACAGGCCACGGGTTTGGCCCTAAGGTGCCAGAGTCCTTTTGATCTACGAAAATTAGCCCTGACTTATCTTACTTTTGAAGCTGTGATCATGCGATTCATGACTGGTTTCAATCTAAGGGCTGAATTGCAACCCCCGAATAAAACGGTTTCTTTTTTTTTTTTTCTTTTCTTTTTTTATCCTCACCTGAGGACATTTTTCCATTTTTTGTTCAGATAGAGCGGAAAGGAGAGAGAGGAAGAGAGAGAGAGAGAGAAACATCGATGTGAAGGGACACATCGAGTGGCTGCCACCCGCACGACCAACCAGGGCCGGGGACAAACTGCAACCGAGGTACATGCCCTTAGCGGGAACCGAACCCGGGTCTCTCTGTACCGCAGGCCGACGCTCTAACCGCTGAGCCAAACCGGCCAGGGCTAAAACGGTTTCTTAATGGGTGAAAACCCCAGTGACACTGGACTGTGCCACACAGCTGACGGGGCACCCTTCTGACATCCGTGCTGCAGTGAGGGCTTGCTGCTGGCTCACGGGGCAGTGCCGACCCCTTACTGAGCATCCTGGACCAGCCCCTTCCCATTTCATACTGTGCTTTCAAAAGCAAGTCCTGGACCGGCCACTGACGACCTGAGACAGGACCTCTGTGGGGGTGGGGCCCGTTCCTCCCTCTGGGAAGGGGGGCGTGGCCACATCCCCTCTGTCCTAGCTCTTTCTTCCTGTCTGTCCGCCCAAGGTGACCATGAGCTTCGTGAGCTGAACACCCTGTGTGTGGGGCTCTTTTCCACACACTGAGCACGGAGCCCCCGAGGCACAGAATCTCACTGAGCACGGAGCCCCCAAGGCGCGATAAACACCCATGGAAAGGAGGGAGGCTCGGGTGACTGGCAGAGCCTCATTCACTGCAGGGCGCAGGCCAGAGGACCAGCCCTCTCTCCTCCTGCTGAACAAAATGGTGTTTCTTTTTAAACAAAACTAGTATTTAGTGGGTAGTTATGTGCCATTGCACCACGCTCCATGAGTGGGTCTGTCTCAGAGCTCAGAGGCGGAAGAGGAGCATGAGGCTTCTTTCAAAGCCGGGGAGTGGCCGGCTGCCCCAGAGAAGCCCTGACATTTACATAGCACTTCCCAGCGTGCAAAGCACACCCCAAAGCCTCTTGTTGCACAGATCCTTACAACACGTCTGCGAGCAGGGGCCGGGACTGTCACCCCACTTCCCACTTGAGGAGACTGGCTCAGAGGAGGGGAGTCTCTTACCCAGAGACAACGGCTGTAAGAGGGAAGAGCCAGGACCAAACTCCGGTCTAATTGTGTTTGGGTGCCTTTAAAACTATTCCACTGCTACTTTCAAATTCCCAAAGGCAGGAGGGAGCCCACGGGAGCTACCTTTCCCCACGCCACCCGGCGCTCAGCAACCGGCTAGGCCGCGGGTGAGTGGGCTGGAGTGTGGCCCCCGCGGAGGGGCAGCGAAGGGCACCTTGTGCTCAGCCACAGCCTGTGCCGGTTCCACAGCCAAGTCTGACGCAGCTGCGAGGGTGTGAGAGCCCATGGCCTTCCCCTCAGCCTTCCCACGAATCCCGGGGACAGCAGTGGGATGAAGTAACAGAAACCACGGAGCAGCTGCTCAGAAAATGTGGCTTTTGTCCACCAAGGCAGGGACTCTTAGCCCCGGAGTTCCGGAGTATCTGTAAATCCACTGTGTGTGTCTCCACACGTGTGGCTTCTTCTGGAGAATGTCTCCTGCCTTCACTAGGTTCCCAAATGGGGCCATGACCCACAAGGCTACACACCACGACACCGCGAGCCGCTCAAGGGCAGCCCGGGCCCGGATGCGGCTCCTGAGCCTGGCTCGTGCTTGACACAGAGACCCAATCAAACGACATGCCCATCACGGGCACCTGCTGCAAAGTGACTGGCACCCATCACGCACTCAGCGAGTGCCAACGCTCAGGGCCAAGCTGTTCCCAGCAGAACACCTGACAGGTAGGAAACTGATGTACTTTAGATGATCAGTAAGTGGTCAAACCGGGATTCAAAGCAGGATGGCTCCAGAAAGCCACTAGGAAATGGCTCAACATCTCACTCCTGGGTTTCCTCAGTTTCGGCCTACATGTTGTTCCCTCTCCCACCCAACTCACCCCAACCCTGCACTGTTCTCAGGGGTGAGCTGGATATCCGATTAGACTGTAGTCACTTCCCACCGCTGTGGCTCTTGAATAAACTTGCTACTCAAGCGTGGTCAGTACAAGGGCAGCTGGTCAGGCATGCAAGTCTTCCCTACACCCATCAAATCCGAATCTTGGGGGGCGTGGCCTAGCTCAGACCAGCTCTCCAGGCCTCTGATGCCTGTTCAAGTTCAAGGAGCTGGGCTGTCACACACTTTCAGGCACTGCCTGTCTGGCGGTTGTTCCCGGGGTCCATCACCCCAGGGTCACCTACGGGCCCCAAATGGAAAGAACTTGCCCATATTTCCCAACCCCAACCTGTCACATCCTAGGAGAGAGAGAGAAGCAATAGAAAGGCGACTCCTTCAGCAATGCCTGCCATGAGCACACTCTATCTAAAAGATAATGCCTTGTTCTTTTTTCCGAATATCCTGTTCTTAACCGTCAAGGCACGTGTCAGTTCCACAGGATCTGGTCACCCGTTTGGGCCACTTGTCTGGGCCGCCCCACCAGCCTGCGGGCTGCAGGGAGGCAGGAGCCATGCCTGTTTCTGTCACCCCTGCCATCCGGCAACAACCGAGTGCCCCGCACACCAGGAGAGCGCGGGAGACCAGGCCAACCAGGCCAGGTGGTGACCAGAAGCCACTGTCACAGGAACAGGTGTCAACATGTCAATAAATATTTCTCACCTACCTGGAAGGCTACTGAGTCGTTTCTGCTGTTCTGTGAGAGAAGAAGAAATACACAGTGTGAGATGTACACAGACACGGTAAAACCGAGCAGTCCTGGCATAACTCGTTAGGATCCCAGCATCTGTGTCCTCACGGTCCTCTGGGCTCAGATGCAGAAACACTGCGTGTCCAGTGAGCATGGGCGCGTCAACACGGCCCCTGCGCTCCGCGTGCGGATCCCTCCTCGCTCTGCCCCCAGAGCTACACCTGTTTCCTGGTGGTTTATATCTTATCTCAAGATGACCTGGTCACTGGAGGAGACCCTCCCGACTCCACTTGCTTCAAGGGAACAGGGCCTTACACAACCCCAGTCTTGGTACCTTTTGAGGGAAAGAAATTATAATCATAACCATGGCAACTACCATTTCCTAAGCGCTTGCAAAATTCCAAACGTTGTTTTAAGAGCTTTCACACAGGTTAATACTTTTAATCTTTGCAACAACCCTAGCAGGTAGGTCAGGGTAGTTGAGAAACCCTCAGTGAGGGGCACAAACTACCCAAGATGACACTGAAAACCAGAGCTGGGTCTAAACCTGGAATCCCTTTATCATCTTCTTCTTTTTTTAATCCTCACCCAAGGACATTCTTTTTCAATATTTTGTTCAGATAGAGTGGGAGGGAAAGAGAGAGAGAGAAACACCGACGTGAAAGGGACACAACAAGTGGTTGCCACCCACACGACCCAGAGACAAACTGCAACCGAGGTACATGCCCTTAGTGGGAACCGAACCCGGGTCTCTCTGGACCGCAGGCCGACGCTCTAACCGCTGAGCCAAACCGGCCAGGGCTCCCCTTATCTTCTAATCCAGGCTCTTTCCAGCTCTAATCACCAGGCCCATCCCTTAGCACTGAGGTCTATGGGTTTCTCACCCTCCCAGGCACTCGTGAGGACGGAGTCCAACCTCTCTGGAGACTTCTGTGTGTACGTGCTTTGGCATAAAGACAAAAATGACCGCTACCTTCCACAGCTGCTAAATATAAAGCAGCCACACAGATAAAAATAGAACGCTTGCCAGCCCATGGGCGCTATCATCATGCCCTTGGCTGTGTCCCCACCCTCCCTCCAGCATCAGTGTGGGTAAGACCTACACAGAGCAGCCGGGGAGCCCGCACGGTGGAAGCAGCCCCGTCCACCTATGGCCGTGGACGAGCCTCACTCACACCGGCCAGACAACAGAGCCCAGCAGAGCTCAAGGCTCAGCTCTGCTAGCCACACGCCAGATGACAACGACCAATCACCTCGCCTCAATTTCCTCAGTTTCTCCCTCGGTTTCTTCACCTGTTAAACAGAAGTGCTCACTGGACCCATGGATCCCAAACTCTGGTCTCCAAGCCAGGGGCAAGGTCTTCCCCAGTAGGCAAAAGCACACCTACTCCATATAAAAAACACTAGGTTGTTCCCGTGTCTCAGTTGTGAAATGGCCTCTTTCTTGGAAAGTGATGTAGATAATGGCAATTGTTTTCCAGGGCTGTTATTTAGCAAAGTTAGAAATTAGCACCCCTGGGGTGCTCCTCCGGACTGTGTCATGTGCCAGAAGTCTGGGGAGCATTGAGCTCTTGCTGTCCAGTGTGGCCCGCGGACCAGCAGCACCGACAGGCCCTGTGGACTGCAGAGTCTCAGCCCCGCCTCGGGCTGCCTGAACCTGAACCTGCAAGTCAAGAAGCCCCTAGATTCCAGGCACATTAGAGACTGAGAAGCTCTGCCCTGGTCGGGTAGCTCAGTTTGTTAGGGCGTCATCCCAATATGCCAAGTTGTGGGTTCTATCCTCAGTCAAAACATATACAAGAATCAACCACTGAATGCATAAAAAAGTGGAACAAATCAATCTCTCTCTCTCAGAGATAAATTGAAAAACACATAAAATAAGATAAAGACGGAGAGGCTTAGAGCGAGGGGACCCATGCATCTTTCAGTCCTGAGAGTGTTCTGATTCCAGCCCCACCAGACTGATCCCAAGCACGCTGCCCCCAGAGCACACCGTGGGAAGGCTCAGGGGAGAAGAGCGAGGCTGCGCTGTGCAGGCCGAGGGGAGCTGGCGGCGGGAGCCGGGGCACTGTCCCACGTGTCCTGGGCCCGCCTAGGCAGGAACAAAGGGAACCTTTTTCAGGATGACTCAACTAGAATTCCAGAAGTGGAGTAAAGTTATCACTCTCTCAGGAGACTTTGCGATAGTTAGGAAACTGTTTTTACGAGTATCATCTACGAGGCAAAGCAGAGCTGCCGGGCTGGGTCAATTCCAAAGCAAAGCCAGGAATGCTTGACCTACACCCCACTGCCGATCGGTCACCGAGCAGGGCCGCGAGGCGCTCCCATCTCCTCCACGCTTCCTGCCCCGCCTCCTTGGGGACATATGGTTTGCTCTTCATGGGAAGCTACTTTTAATTCCAAAAAGACGAACGTTCGCGAATCCTTTTCTGAAGGGTGTGTGATGTAGGCTGCCCAATTCTGATCTTTAAACCCAAGGGCAGGCCGTGGACTAAGGAGAAATGTAAAACCAGCGGCATTTGGGCAAATAAGAAGAAGCCGTTTGTCCAGGGAAGAAAGGGAAAGAAGAACGGGCATTTCTGGGCCGAGACGTCTCTCTTGGTGCACCACGGGGCTTGGCGGCAGCAGCTGACACGACACTTGGCATTTCCCAAAACCCAAGTTGCCTTGGGAATAAATCCCAGATTTAGAGAAACTACTTCTGGTGGGAACTGACTTGCTTCTGTTTGACTGAATTTTGTAAAAAGATGAGTCACAAAGAAGTTCACAGAGAACCAAAATTTCCCTCTGTCCTGCATTACAGACTTTCTGGGCAGAAGGAGCCATCGCCCAGGGGAGGGGGCTCTTACACAATGTAGTGTGGGGGTTGGGAGCATATTTTATTTTTTGAAGAACATAGATTCAAGGGGAAAATTAGTTTGGGAGTCACACAGAGTGAAAAATACAACATTTCTAAAATAACTAAGACTTGGGTGGGATGATTTTAAGTGAGAGAAAATGTTTCATTCATCTGTTTTTTAAGTTAGAAGCAGGAAACAGAAAACTCCATTTAACATGGAGAACAATTAAAAATAGACTGCAGCTCCTTTCTCCTCCAAGTTAAGGCAGAGGCGGAGGGGAGGGGCACTAGGAGCAGGGGAGGGGAGGGGCGCTGGGAGCAGGGGAGGGGAGGGGGCTAGGAGCAGAGGAGGGGAGGAGGCTAGGAGCAGGGGAGGGGAGGGGGCTAGGAGCAGGGGAGGGGAGGGGGCTAGGAGCAGGGGAGGGGAGGGGGCTAGGAGCAGGGGAGGGGAGGGGGCTAGGAGCAGGGGAGGGGAGGGGCTAGGAGCAGGGGAGGGGAGGGGCTAGGAACAGGGGAGGGGAGGGGGCTAGGAGCTGGGGAGGGGAGGGGGCTAGGAGCAGGGGAGGGGAGGGGCTAGGAGCAGGGGAGGGGAGGGGGCTAGGAGCAGGGGAGGGGAGGGGGCTAGGAGTAGGGGAGGGGAGGGTGCTAGGAGCAGGGGAGGGGAGGGTGCTAGGAGCAGGGGAGGGGAGGGGGCTAGGAGCAGGGGAGGGGAGTGGGCTAGGAGCAGGGGAGGCAGGAAGCTAAGGGAAGGACGAAGGACGATTTGGTACAGAGCTCCGAGCCCTGAACAAAATAATTAAACCTGCACTGTTTTCTGAAGTTCAGATGGAATAGCCCTTCCTATACTCAGAAACACTCAGAAAGCTTGAAGACTTTACATGTCACACTGCACAGACCTTTGGGGAAGGGAACGTTTATTCCTCTATTGAATTCCCGAAACAAAACATTGGGATTTAGAATCATCTTGTGGGATTTTAAAGCGGAGGCGTCAACATAGGCAGTTTCTCCGAGACGCCCCTGCAGGGAAGGGGAGACCGTCCAGCAGTCGGAGGAGCTGGGGAAAGCACACCCGAACCCCTCGGAGAGCTGTCGGGGCGCAGTGAAAGGGGCAGACGGCCACTCGTGCCCAGTGTGACAGCTGCTGGCGAGAGCGAAGGCTGGGGAGTCCCGAGGAAAAGGCTCAGTGGCCTCTGCCTTGAAGGTACAAAACATGTCTGACATTTCAGACACGATTCCATCCACTCCGTTTTCTTTTTGGAATTCTGGAACTCACAATTTTGCTTTCTAGAAAACGCCTGATGTCAAAGATCTAAATGATGCAGGGCTCTCCTGAAAAGGGTTACTACTGAACCTAGAGTTTCCAAGCAGAGCTCCGATGGGAATTCTCGCGATAAGGAATTAAGGGCACAGATTTCCTTGCCCTGTCTTTTCTTTCTTTTCGGTGCTGCCATCAGAAGACACTGTGAACACCCAAGGTGTGGAACAGGCACTACACCAGCTTACTTACTCCAACACCTGACATCATCCAGAACCAGGGATGATCTACTTGGTGGGTGTGGGCTAAACTGGAGCAGATGGCTCGGGGAAGGAGATCTGTGAAAATGTCTGTCCCAGGGGTCACGGAACAGTGGTTGGAGGGAGAGGCGTGCGGTGAAGCCCCCGTACCTCGGTTGTGTTGCAAGAGCACAATCGTGGGGTTGACAATTGTGGTGGAGGGGTAGGCAGATGACGGCTTGCTAACTGGGGCAAAGGTCTGCGAATCAGTTCTAACACGAGATGAAGAAACTTCATTTAGCAGAGGACTTGAATCCTGAAAAACAAACAAACATTGTGACTGTCAATACACAAAACCTAGAGTTAGTGCTTTTTTAAAAGAAAATTAAGGCTTTACAAGAACCTTAATTATAAAAAGAAACGCAACCAATGAGACGTCATTAATTCCAGTTAGAAGCTTAATCTGGAATGCTTATTCTCTGTGCTGGTATTAGTCGAGGGAGAGAGGGAAGATAATGTTACTAGGAGTCTCAGCAACATTATTCATTATTTTCACCTGGTAATAACTGTGGATCAATCCAGTTACTGAAAAGGCAAATTCAAATCAAAGTAGAAAAAACATGCAAAACGCATGCAATTCCAAATGCGATCTGAGAACGCGAGCTGGTTTAATTGGGAAAAATCAGGAAAGTTTAGTACACTGTTTACAGAAACGTGAGATGGTGTGAGGACAAGAAGCCATAGGTGTAAGAATAGAAAGAGTTAAGTTCTGGCACTTTTGGAAAACTATTCTCATCATCCACATCACTGAACAACCTCACTAGCTCTTGCTTCCAAGGTTCGGATATTATCCTGTCCTACTGTGATGTGTTTTCACTCCAATATCGAGTGACAAAGATCTCTGACGTAAAGACTTGTGAAAATCCTGTCTTTAAAAAACCTGAGGGTCTGGGTCAGAAATACCAATAAAATTATTACTACTAGCATTATAATCTGCATGATGGGAATAATAGCAGTCTTTTTAAAGACAGGAAACAAGACCTCGAAATGTAGTGAGGCTATGTAGACAGTTTCCTCTATCACACCTACAAATTTTGTGATGCTTCTATTTTAGAATTTACAGACCCCAAAGCCAGAATATTATTCCTAAAGGGTTGAAAGAAAGACTTTGTTCCTCTCCGGATAAGGATGGCATAAAAGCAATCTGTGTGCTCCGTCAGAGATCATCGCTCTGTAAGTACCTGCACTGACCTCCCTGCCTCCGCCCCAGCCCGAGCACAGCACCCTGCCGGCAGCAGGTGCTCAGCAGTAAAATGCCACATGAAGGGCAGGAGCCACCGACCAGTAAAGGTGTTTCTGAATAACTTCTGTTCAAAAGAACAAAACGTTCAGGAGAACACGTGCCCACCAAAAGAGAGGATGTGTCAGGACCCAGGACAGCTCCTGACACACAGTAGGGGCAACTCCTAAAAACACTGGCTTGGTCAGTCCAACTCTTCTCATAAAGTGCCCTGAAGTCACAGCAGCAGCTCAGTTTACTGAATAAAACTTTCCCTCAAGGCTTGAGAGGCACAATATGATCTTGTGCAAAAGTGTCTCATCTCAACTTTTCATTTGTAAAGTGGAAAACAATTACACTGTCCTAGTTTACATCCAAAGTGATGCAACACAGATAAATATCAGTGAAAACTGCAATAACGCAGCCAAGAAACAAAGAGAGCCAAGCACACGGCTTCTTCAAGTATACATACCGCCTGTGATGCCTGGAGGGACTGCGTGAGCATTAAGCATTTTATAAATGTTACTCTGTGGCATGTCTTATTTCTGGAACTTTATAAAGATGGTCATTGACCAAAAAAGAACCTGTACCAATGACCATGCATTTTCTTCTTCCCTCTCTATGAAATAGCTGCAGGTAGAGCAGATATCAACTTGTGGCGAGGCCACATCCACTGGGCATCTGCCCTTCTTGACAATTCTCATTAAGTGGAGGAACCCAAGCAGTTTCCTTGTTCACCTCTTACTTTGTTACCTGGGGCCAAACTAGAACTTATCAGGCCAACTGAAGTCTCCTGGGCCGCAGGAGAGAAGTGAAATACACTTCCTGGGAAGTCCATACCAGGTTGATCAGTTGGGTTTGAGAAACTGAGGACACTGTCCCAACTAATCTGTCCTGGTCCGCCTGAAACTAACTCAATATAAACACCTAGATCTATACAAGTGATGAAGTGTGGGTACACAGCGGAACTGCTCACGATGTATACTGGCACCCTAAGAACAAGACTTGCTTTGCATGCTGCTCTAGAGAAACATTCTGGGCCAAAGGGAAGAATACCCGTATTCTCCAAAACAAGCGCAGCTTCTAAATTCGCCCAGGAGTTGAACTAGGGTGAGGTGAGTGCATCAGGGAATAATCTAGCATTTTCCTCCACGAGGCCGGAGTTGTAAAGCTCAAAGCTAGGACATCCAAGCCCCTGGGCCATGTTTGGCAGGGTCCTGACCTAATGCCTTGTGCTGCACCTAGAGTTTTGAGAAGAGGTCCCAGCCTAGGATGTAGCTGTTCCCAGCTTTGTGTCTGATCTCTCACTGTCATTGCTCTTAAAAGCTGAAAAAAAAAGGTTCCCTCCTGCTTTGTGCATGACTCACTTCAGTGTAATGAGCCACTGGAGCCTGTTTTGTAGGCATACCTCTTTAGGCAAAGAGATGCCAGTGAAAATAATCCTATCAGCCAGTGGCATGACCCTATGTCTCAAAAATGTGGTCCACAGACCCTCAGCATCAGAGTCCTCCAGGATGCACATTACCAAGTGGTCCGAGTCCTGGGTACCTCCCCAGACCCACTCAATCAGAAGCCCTAGGAGTATGACCCAGAGTGGACAACTTCGATGCGTATCCCTGTCGCTCAGAGGACCCATGTACCTGAGCTGGAGAACTCAGGCGGATCCTGAGAGCAGGGGCTGGGCCTTGTTTGTGGTTGTACTCAGAGAAGCTAGAAGAATGCCCAGAACATGGTGAGGACTCAATGATTGTTAATTAGCCAGTTACTTAATTTTGAGGGACTCCGGCTCCCCTTTGCTAGGGCAAGTCCTCAGCAACGTAGCTAATGTTCATTGGGTGCTCTCTCGGTGCCACACACCATGACTGAAACTTACATACTCAGGCCCACTGTGCCCCACAGCCCTGTGCGCAGGTCCATGTACTCCCATCCCCAGGGCTCCTGAGAAGAGGAGACCAAGTACTATGATTCAGCCTTTCTCCAAAGCACCTGTCCCTCCCAGGATGGGACCTGGTTTCAGAGCCCTTTAACTTCATGGCCAAGGAGGTGCTGCACAAAGACCCTGGGAGCCAGTACTCAGGGGCCCCAGCAATTATCAGCCTTTTGAGGACACAGTCCTAACATTCGCACAAGGCTTTTTTTTTTACCCATTTGCTCAATCATACTCAACTCTTTTTCAACCTAGTCTCTGCCACGGCTGTATATCAGAGTTTGTTTACTTGCTAAAACAACCCAAGAGTGAATCCATTCCTCCCCTGCTCCCTGGTGGAGAAACCGCTGTTGGCTTTTCCGCGTTGTTCTTCACTTTCCTCAGCTCTCAACACCACAGCTGCCTAGCCTGGGGCGCGAATGACTGGCCAGAGGCAAGGCCACAGAGGTCATTTTCTCTGCAGGGAAACCAAGTTCTTTCAGGAAGATGTGCATTCCGGACAGGACAGCGAGGAGGAGGGACTGGAGACCGTGACAGGCGTGAGAGCCCGGGACACACGGAGGCATGCACCCGGGACAGCAGAGCCAGCTCCGGTCACCACGCAAGCACAGCGGCAGCCAACACGCCCTCGGAACTTAGCACTCAGGAGAAAGGGCTTCTACTCTGGGAGCAGACATTCAGGAAAGCCGTGAGGAAGGGACCCCAGCAAGCTTACGGTACTTGAAACAGCTCCTGTGAGGTCAGGCTCCGAGACTCCGTGCAGGCCCTCCGGGACCGGGGGGACCAGCGGAGGTGGTGGTGAGGATGGTGGTGTCTGGCTAACGGGGGGGTGGGGGCCCGGAGCGCTGGCTGGCGGGCTGTGGTGGGGCCGCCTCTGCAGATGAGGGGGAATGAAATCATCTAGAGTCGGGAAGGTCAGAGGTGAGCCGGCAGGGGCGGTCCCCGGGACTGGGGGGCCCAGTGGCCCCGGAGGTGCTGGAGGTCTGGCAGCGCCTTCTTGCCCTCTGTCAGTATTAACCAGGTAGAGAGGGACAACTATGACCTCAGGCTGGGCTGGGCCGGAGGAAGTGGCATCCTGTAGGAAATAAGGGGGTCGTTACGTAAAGGGGTACGGCAGCAGGGAAGAAGGAATTCCATATTTAAACAGTTGAGCGTGGACATGCAATGATGTACTCTGACAACTATTTAATCGGTGCCCTTTCCTCAGGGTGCATGAGACAGGCGGTGCTGGCCAGCTGGCCTCCTGACACGCTATGACACAGAGGGAACCCCGTCCAAGTTCGCTTTCCATCCATCTATTTTTGAATCCTTTTAACACTTTAGGAGAGAGAGAGAGAGAGAACAGGCAGGCAGGCCGTGATTAACCCCCAAGCCGCTTGCGGAGCCTGAAAGCTTGGGAGGACATACAGTCTCTTTGGCACCTTGTTATAAAACATGAACACTGCTCTCACCGTATTATTAGTCTCTGGGTATTCCAAGCTCTGGCACACGCACATATTTATAGGAAGGGGGGAGGGGGCAGAGAGGACTGTGCCGAGGTGTTCAGAGAGAATTCGGGGCTCAAGCTGCAGCAGTATTACGAGGAAGGGGCGGGAAGGAAGCCCAGAAAGTAAACGAGCTCTCACATGAGTTTCAAAAGAGACGGAGTAGACACACAAACATTCCTAATTCCTTGCCTTGGCTGGATAACACGGCTGCAAAAGGTAAGGTTCTTTTCTCCTTCGGTTTTCGGGATCAGAGGTAACCTGGGGGCCTAGCACAGGTGGTCCTACTGCGTCTGGGAACGAAGGCCGAGGCCCCCGGGAAGGACTCTCGCCACGGTTACCGGCATCTTTGTGGGGGTCGGAGGGTAGCTGGGGAGGGTGAGGAGTGGCGGAGGGTGGCTTTCCCGTGCCGGCTGTGCAGGGGACAGTGCTGGGAGCTGGTGCTCGAGTGCCCTGGGCTGGGTCACGTGCAACGCGCGAGAGGCTTCCCGATGCCACCGGGCCAACGTTATTGGATAAACAAGGTACATATAAGCTGCTGACCTTTTTATTCCCAGCTGCCTCACGACGTGGGTTAGAGCTCACATTCCCACTGTAAACTGTCCTGGCGACTGCACAGTGACGCT